GGCTTCTTGACCATCTTTAGAAATGAAACTTTTCACCACAAAGTAGAAAACAACAAGAAACCACCAAGACCACAGAGAGGCCAACCAGTCTGAGCTGCTGGTTGGAACAAGATGAGGTTTCACTTCTCACTGCACATCAGTAAAGATGCTGCAGGTGAAGACGGTGCTAAATGTGTCTGGGCACTACAACTGCCTGTTATAATAGTTAAAACATTAAATAAACCTTTATTTTCATTTATATTCTCAGTTGGTATCATCACAGTAAAACCACACATGTTTGCAGTCTTCCTAATCTTGGGAAAATTAGCCAATCACCACCAAGAAACAAGGACAGTGCAGGTTGTTATTTTAAATAGTAATTTAAACCTGGTTAAATAAAGCTTTAATATATAAGAAATCTGCAAATATTTTAAGAGCTTCATCTGTCAATAGGTGAATCTGCAAAACTAAACTGAACAGTCTGACTTTAAATATAATTCATTAAAGAACTACAGACAGATTCCCAAATGAAATCAACTCACCCAACATTTTATTTACACAAACAATGCTCCCTGATCTAAATGATTCATAATGAGAAACGAACCACTGACGTCTATCAGACCATAGAGCTACAGAAACAAAATGACTAGAAGAGATCCATCCAGAAAGTCTCTAAAGAAGCTAGAACAACATTTAAAGGACTGCAGGCCTCAGCTGCCTTAAGGTCAGTTTTAAGGTTCAGCATTGACCTCAATGGGAGAGTTACCCGACCAGAACCACCAAAGAAATCTCACATTTCCATCTGTTTTCTGTTTGTGGGAAACCTTCTGTTGATCAGAAAGACTTGGTCTGTGGACTGAGGAGCCAAAAATGCTTTCCATCGGAAACAGTTTGAATCAGTGATGTTTCCCTTCCTGTTTCTCCTAATACAGTAATGTTGTTTTAGCGGTAGCTGCTTTCGAAGTCTGGGTTTATGCTGTTCTTTTGAGTAACTTTGTCTCACTTTGGAGAATCAAAGAAAAGAAAACCTGTCAAGCCAACAGCTCAGAATCTGTCTATAGATGAAACTTTAACCCAAATTCTGAATTTAAGTTGAAACCATTGAAGGGATGTTAGAGATTTATCTCAGAACCATCGTCAGACTTTCAGACCAGCTGGTGACACTGAATCTGTTTCTGTTTGATATTCTACCAGGTTCTTCTCCTGCCTCAGTCACTGTTTGTCAGAACTATACAATGTATCTAGAGTACCAGTGAACCTGTTCAACACAGAGCAGGATGAGTGGAAGGAGCTGAAGAGCAGTTTTACCTCTGGTCTTTGGCTCGTTTCTGGTCTTTGGCTCGTTTCCCTTGTTTCTGGTCTTTGGCTCGTTTCTGGTCTTTGGCTCGTTTCTGGTCTTTGGCTCGTTTCCCTCATTTCTGGTCTTTGGCTCGTTTCCCTTGTTTCTGATGACGATCTCTCCATAAGTCACATCGTCTCTTCTGACAGCAGAATAAACCACAGATGGATCGTTCTCTGGAAAAACACAAATATACGATATTTTATACGTGAATCTGAATGTATAAAATAAACTCTGTGATGGCAGGAATCCATCACTAATGATTGTTAAAAATAGAGGAATCTTCTATTGAACAATGAGTTTTCTCTAATTAAATATTTAATCACCACAAGGTAATGATTTTGACTCAGTTACTTTAAATACCTTTAATTTCTGGCAATAGAAGGATATTTCTATATGCTTCTATATATTAAAGGATATTTGTGAGTGATGGAGTCATGGGATACAAATAAATGTAACATTTTAATATGAGATAAAGTTTTATTTCTTGTCTACTTCTCTCAGTTTTAGTGGAAAATGATCTGCTCCACATTTAGCTGAAACAGGAACCTGAACAACCGCAGAGTTTATTAAAGTCATTTAGCAGAAAAACCTCAAACTGCAGAACAGAAAATGAGAAACGGACCAACATTTACCAGAATAAAGAGCAGAT